GCTCTCTCTCTCTCTCGCTCTCTCTCTCTCTCGCTCTCTCTCTCTCTCGCTCTCTCTCTCTCTCGCTCTCTCTCTCTCTCGCTCTCTCTCTCTCTCGCTCTCTCTCTCTCTCGCTCTCTCTCTCTCTCGCTCTCTCTCTCTCTCGCTCTCTCTCTCTCTCGCTCTCTCTCTCTCTCGCTCTCTCTCTCTCTCGCTCTCTCTCTCTCTCGCTCTCTCTCTCTCTCGCTCTCTCTCTCTCTCGCTCTCTCTCTCTCTCGCTCTCTCTCTCTCTCGCTCTCTCTCTCTCTCGCTCTCTCTCTCTCTCGCTCTCTCTCTCTCTCGCTCTCTCTCTCTCTCGCTCTCTCTCTCTCTCGCTCTCTCTCTCTCTCGCTCTCTCTCTCTCTCGCTCTCTCTCTCTCTCGCTCTCTCTCTCTCTCGCTCTCTCTCTCTCTCGCTCTCTCTCTCTCTCGCTCTCTCTCTCTCTCGCTCTCTCTCTCTCTCGCTCTCTCTCTCTCTCGCTCTCTCTCTCTCTCGCTCTCTCTCTCTCTCGCTCTCTCTCTCTCTCGCTCTCTCTCTCTCTCGCTCTCTCTCTCTCTCGCTCTCTCTCTCTCTCGCTCTCTCTCTCTCTCGCTCTCTCTCTCTCTCGCTCTCTCTCTCTCTCGCTCTCTCTCTCTCTCGCTCTCTCTCTCTCTCGCTCTCTCTCTCTCTCGCTCTCTCTCTCTCTCGCTCTCTCTCTCTCTCGCTCTCTCTCTCTCTCGCTCTCTCTCTCTCTCGCTCTCTCTCTCTCTCGCTCTCTCTCTCTCTCGCTCTCTCTCTCTCTCGCTCTCTCTCTCTCTCGCTCTCTCTCTCTCTCGCTCTCTCTCTCTCTCGCTCTCTCTCTCTCTCGCTCTCTCTCTCTCTCGCTCTCTCTCTCTCTCGCTCTCTCTCTCTCTCGCTCTCTCTCTCTCTCGCTCTCTCTCTCTCTCGCTCTCTCTCTCTCTCGCTCTCTCTCTCTCTCGCTCTCTCTCTCTCTCGCTCTCTCTCTCTCTCGCTCTCTCTCTCTCTCGCTCTCTCTCTCTCTCGCTCTCTCTCTCTCTCGCTCTCTCTCTCTCTCGCTCTCTCTCTCTCTCGCTCTCTCTCTCTCTCGCTCTCTCTCTCTCTCGCTCTCTCTCTCTCTCGCTCTCTCTCTCTCTCGCTCTCTCTCTCTCTCGCTCTCTCTCTCTCTCGCTCTCTCTCTCTCTCGCTCTCTCTCTCTCTCGCTCTCTCTCTCTCTCGCTCTCTCTCTCTCTCGCTCTCTCTCTCTCTCGCTCTCTCTCTCTCTCGCTCTCTCTCTCTCTCGCTCTCTCTCTCTCTCGCTCTCTCTCTCTCTCGCTCTCTCTCTCTCTCGCTCTCTCTCTCTCTCGCTCTCTCTCTCTCTCGCTCTCTCTCTCTCTCGCTCTCTCTCTCTCTCGCTCTCTCTCTCTCTCGCTCTCTCTCTCTCTCGCTCTCTCTCTCTCTCGCTCTCTCTCTCTCTCGCTCTCTCTCTCTCTCGCTCTCTCTCTCTCTCGCTCTCTCTCTCTCTCGCTCTCTCTCTCTCTCGCTCTCTCTCTCTCTCGCTCTCTCTCTCTCTCGCTCTCTCTCTCTCTCGCTCTCTCTCTCTCTCGCTCTCTCTCTCTCTCGCTCTCTCTCTCTCTCGCTCTCTCTCTCTCTCGCTCTCTCTCTCTCTCGCTCTCTCTCTCTCTCGCTCTCTCTCTCTCTCGCTCTCTCTCTCTCTCGCTCTCTCTCTCTCTCGCTCTCTCTCTCTCTCGCTCTCTCTCTCTCTCGCTCTCTCTCTCTCTCGCTCTCTCTCTCTCTCGCTCTCTCTCTCTCTCGCTCTCTCTCTCTCTCGCTCTCTCTCTCTCTCGCTCTCTCTCTCTCTCGCTCTCTCTCTCTCTCGCTCTCTCTCTCTCTCGCTCTCTCTCTCTCTCGCTCTCTCTCTCTCTCGCTCTCTCTCTCTCTCGCTCTCTCTCTCTCTCGCTCTCTCTCTCTCTCGCTCTCTCTCTCTCTCGCTCTCTCTCTCTCTCGCTCTCTCTCTCTCTCGCTCTCTCTCTCTCTCGCTCTCTCTCTCTCTCGCTCTCTCTCTCTCTCGCTCTCTCTCTCTCTCGCTCTCTCTCTCTCTCGCTCTCTCTCTCTCTCGCTCTCTCTCTCTCTCGCTCTCTCTCTCTCTCGCTCTCTCTCTCTCTCGCTCTCTCTCTCTCTCGCTCTCTCTCTCTCTCGCTCTCTCTCTCTCTCGCTCTCTCTCTCTCTCGCTCTCTCTCTCTCTCGCTCTCTCTCTCTCTCGCTCTCTCTCTCTCTCGCTCTCTCTCTCTCTCGCTCTCTCTCTCTCTCGCTCTCTCTCTCTCTCGCTCTCTCTCTCTCTCGCTCTCTCTCTCTCTCGCTCTCTCTCTCTCTCGCTCTCTCTCTCTCTCGCTCTCTCTCTCTCTCGCTCTCTCTCTCTCTCGCTCTCTCTCTCTCTCGCTCTCTCTCTCTCTCGCTCTCTCTCTCTCTCGCTCTCTCTCTCTCTCGCTCTCTCTCTCTCTCGCTCTCTCTCTCTCTCGCTCTCTCTCTCTCTCGCTCTCTCTCTCTCTCGCTCTCTCTCTCTCTCGCTCTCTCTCTCTCTCGCTCTCTCTCTCTCTCGCTCTCTCTCTCTCTCGCTCTCTCTCTCTCTCGCTCTCTCTCTCTCTCGCTCTCTCTCTCTCTCGCTCTCTCTCTCTCTCGCTCTCTCTCTCTCTTTGTCTCCTCTCTCTCTTCTGCTCCTCTCTCTTTGGCTCCTCTCTCTCTCTCTTCGGCTCCTCTCTCTCTCTCTTCGGCTCCTCCCTCTCTCTCTTCGGCCCCTCCCTCTCTCTCTCTTCGGCCCCTCCCTCTCTCATCGTATCCTTTCTCTCTCTTACTTCGTCTCCTCCCTCTCTCTTCGTCTCCTCTCTCTCTCTCTTCGTCTCCTCTCTCTCTTCGTCTCCTCTCTCTCTTCGTCTCCTCTCTCTCTCTCTCTCCTCTCTCTCTTTGTTTCCTATCTCTCTCTCTCTTCGTCTCCTCTCTCTCTTCGTCTCCTCTCTCTCTTCGTCTTCTCTCTCTCTTCGTCTCCTCTCTCTCTCTCTCTCTTCGTCTCCTCTCTCTCTTCGTCTCCTCTCTCTCTCTCTCTCCTCTCTCTCTCTTCGTTTCCTATCTCTCGCTCTCTTCGTCTCCTCTCTCTCGCTCTCTTCGTCTCCTCTCTCTCTCCTCTTCTCCTCCCGCTTTCCTCATCTCCATAACCCTCCTTGTGCACAGACAGAGAGCACAGGAAGTTATCAGCTTACAAATGTATATATGTGTATTGTATGTTCTACTCTAAACTGTGACTACATATGTTGGTGCTTTATAAAAATGTAAAAATAGATCAAAAAATAAATCTATTCAGTCGGGGCCACCTTTTAGTTCTAAACTCACATTGAACCTGTTCACTGCGTATCACAGTAAAACCGGGTAAACTTTGTTTATCTTTATTTCTGTTCAATATTTAATTCTGCAAAATGCATTTAAAAATAGGCATTTTCACAGTGGGATTCCCTACAGTACACAGGGGTTACCATGGGACATAGTGTGTGACTGTTCTGAGTGTAGATTAGGGATTAAGTGAGGTATGTAAATAGCGGTGTGCTGCAGCAGAGTAGACATGACTGCCTGGGGCTATGTAATAGCCGGAGATAGGCCTTTCTGATGTGGCTCCTGCGGGACTCCATCTACTGGCATGTTTTCTACACCGATCATTATGGAATGCCGAGACAGTTCAAACTCCTCTAAATTATTTTTGCACATAATTTACATCGAGCTGTGTTTGGGGAGAAAGGTACAGTCTGTTATGACATATTTCAATTCGTCAAGCTCATTAAAGCAAGGAATTTCAATATTCTAATGTATAATAGCTTAATAGCTTTTTAATTACTCATAGGTGCTCCTGCATGCACTATTAGAAGGGTACCTGTCCTGAACAGACTTTAAGACTGAAGCTGGTGGCAAAACCAAATAACAAAGTACTTTAATACCCTCCACCTCCCTTTTATATAGCCTACACAAAGGCAAGAGATGACTGTCACTCAATCTGGTCATCATTGGCCAGGTCAGAGGACATTCTGGTATCTGAATATTGTTCTTCCCTTTGATAGGTGGTACAATCTGTAGCTCTGTTCTGCTCCTGTCCCTTGCCTAAACATTAACTTTAAAAGCAGATCTCCAGGATTTTCCAAAGGTAAACCATGCAGTAGGGCTACCCCTGCTTGGTATATTATAAATCTAAATGAGAGAGAGGAAACGGCACATAATGTACTGTTTGCAGATCTACAAGTATCTAATCTCTGGCGTCCTTGAGAGATTGATAAAAATAATGCAATTAGTTTAACCGTGTCATTGAGCAAAACCTGTCCTTTTAAATGTCCGACTATTGTCCTGCATAGCACTACAATGTAACACATGTCTGTTATTTTGCTGCATTCATACCGGTAACTGAGCAGACTGCTGAATCTGGTTGCTTCTTTAGTAAAAGCATAGATAGGAGCAAGCCGAATAAAAGGAAACAATAACATCCCAGAAATCCTATACAAGCCGTGATTCAGATGATGTGACATTGCAGTGCTGTTTAGTTCTGTATTGGAGAATGTTTACTGCAGACTGAATGGCCAGCTCATAAAGTCATATTTGCCCAAAGATAATACTTTGTATGATGTTTTTTTTTTTTTTTTTAACGATGTAAAATTTATATTTTCCAGCATTGTTATAATTCATATGTTTTAGAATGTTGTTGTTTGGTTCACCCTGAATTATTATTACACAGAAACTTCCACAACACAATGTTCTCAATAGAGTGCTTGGCGTTACACCATTATGAAACCAGGCACAATGGTCTCTCCTCCTCTGGGGAAAATGGGGAACTCAAGTGTGAAATCCTTGGCCCCAAGAGATAAGAAGATGCTAACGCTGGCCAGAGTTTACCTAAAACTGAAATCTCAGCTTTGTCTTGATGATACTTTGTGTACTCATGCAATCATTTCTGACTTTTGTCCTGTTTGTTTCAGTTTTTACAGGGTGAATGAGGTTGTTCGGTTCCAGTACTCCAGACCCATAAGGAAAGGAGAGAAAGATCCTGACAATGAATTTTCTGTAAGTAAACTGGAGAATTACTGAGGTTCCTCCAGATCCATTCTGGTAAAATGAAATACAGTAAGCAATGTTTGGCTTCAACCACATACCAGCAGGTGGGACTTAATCTGCCAAAGACAAATAAACTGATCATAAATAATCTGGAGGTAAGGGGAAATTGGCTAGAAAGGACTCCTGCCCCGTTGACAGCTGTCTAAGGTTAGCCCTGTCTCTTTCTGTTGTGTCAGTGAAGAAAATCTACCCAAGAGAGATATAGGCAGTAATAAAAGCCTTAGAACATTTCAAAGACTCCTAAAAAAAAAAGTTTGGGCTAAAGTTCCACTTAAAATCTATGTAAAGGCCAATAATGTAATAAATGATTGCTTAGTTCAATTTATAAACGTTGAGTGGAGTCTTCCTTTTTTCTGTTCATTTTGTCGAAATGTCCTGATGATGCTGCCAGTAAAGGTGGTTCCTGTAACAGGGTGACAACGCTGCCCCTGCATTGTCATGACCTCTGCTGTGCACTCCTAAGAACTACTGGCTGATGCCGATACACAGCATGCCAGAACTGTAACTGTGCATAGTCAGCCACTGATCATGAAAGAACCCATCTTGGAGTGACAGTGTCTGTGAGGTCTGTGCATTGGTGGCTATGGGGTTAGGAGACTGTGTGCTATAGACTGCGCAGCTGTCAGCCACTCTCTTCATGAAATAGTAAGTTCAACCACCCCCCCAAAAAAAACAAAAAAACAACCCAGCATATTCTGTTCCAAATAAAAATTGATATACATTTCGCTCAGGGGTTTTATTTATACTTAAGGGTTAGTGAGAGAGAGAGAGCACAAAGATGCTGCAACCATTATCATTGCCACATGTCATTTTAAAGAACATTATTTTACCCGGAATTATAATTCTGCTTTCTACAGTGTGAGTCTAATTTGTAAAATGATTTCCGTATACTGTTTTAAACGAAGAAGCTGCTAAAATCCCCTAAACATAACTAGTGAATGTTTTAGCTTCAACCCTTCCTTGCAATCTGAATGCTTCTAATTTAAGCTAGTGTCTGTGCCCGCATCTCCTGGGATTAGAAGAAGGGAACCTCTAACTGCTTTACGGAAGCTGGCCTTTTTTTACTCATTCTAATCTCAAAAGTTGTGTGTGTTGTCAAACAGGTAGAAGATCTTAAGCTTTTCTGTGTTTTTTTCCTTACACGACCTGTGTAAGGAAATTATGAACCTGAATTATTTATGACTATTTTAGATTCATGTACAATAATGTTTACCAGAGTTCTTTAACAAGATTCAGTATGTAGGTAATGTTTGTTGCCATCTGATCAACACAGCTGTATGAGCTTATTGGACATCACATTATAAAACTATAGAAATGAATGTGGAGTCTTTGCTTGTATATCCTCCACTGTTCTGTGCAGGCTTTCCACAAGATTTTGAAGTGTGCCTGTGGGAATTTATCCCCATTTAGCCAAAAGAGTATTTGTGATGACAGGAACTGATTTTGGATGAGAAGATCTTCCTTGCAATTGGCATCCCATTTCATTCCAAGGATGTTTAGTGGGGTTGAGGTCAGGGCTCTGTGTAGGCCACTTAAGTTCCTCCACACCAAACTTATCAAACCTTATCTTTGTATTCTGTAGCCTTAACCGTATCCTTCACTGGAAACGCCTACACTTAATGACTTGGACAGAGAAAAACAAATAATGTTTTTGCCTATTACGGTAATATTAATAATATTTTTTTATCTTGTTTTAGAATATGTGGATTGAGAGGACAACTTTTTCAATATCTTACAAACTTCCAGGCATCCTGAGATGGTTTGAAGTGAAGGCTATGGGTACGGTAAGTACAAAGCAGACCACAAGTAGCATGAAGGTTGACTGCTTCCTCCTCTCTGAACCAATCAACTCAGAGCAGCACATGTTTTAGCAGTACCACCTCCATGTTTACAGTTAATAAGAATCATGGAGAATAATACAGTGATAATTAGCCATGGTGGTTTAGCAGCTTTATTGTCCTGCACAGAGAGTCATGGCATTGGAAACTGAAAACGGGATTGTGTTTTAAAAAGAGCAGAACTTGGGTTAAACGGATTTATAGAGCTCTATTGACTGTTTATGGACCATTGAGACAATCTCTTTCACAGTCTGTAGATGTTTGTAGACATTAGATGACTTTATCCTAATTAGGCTGCTTTCGCATCGATTAGACACCAGTCTGATGTGCGTGGCACATACTTCTAGGCAGCATACATGGCTGGATGCAAACATGCTGTTAGAACTCACTTGCCTCAATCAAGCCTAATTCAGGCTCTCTATGTAATTTTATCATGAATGAATTACAAATCATTGTTCAATCCTTGAAGAAGAGGGAGTCCTTTTACCTGAAACATGTTGAGTGTATCTGTGGTTCCTAACATATAAAGATTTGCAAGTGAGACAGAAGTTCGCACTAGGCACGCCTAACCACACACTTAGAAGTTCTTCTGTTGAATGATTGGATTATCGTTATCAGAATGGCAGTAGTCTAGACCCACAATCAAGTCCTAACATCTAGCATAAACTAAGCTCCCGTGAAGAATATGCATTAAGTGAGGAGAAGTGGTTGTAGCACTCCAAGATGGATCCCTACCAAGCGCTGCTTGTGTAGCCTACTCTATAGGAATCCATTCATCCCAGCTGTTAATCAATAGCTAACCAATATACATTGGGTCTTGAATTCACCTCTATCCACATCAGTCCGGAGCTATCACACCCCTACCAGAACTGTAATCTGTGCAAAAATTGTATTGTGGAGAAATCCACTCTGGGTCATACTAGGAAGCGCTTGGAGCCAGAAAGTTACTACCCAGTTTATTGCTGCCCTAGAAGTTCAAAATGTACTGGGAGAGCTTTTGGTTTAATGTCTTTTTATTTCCCTTCCTAGATTGAGATAAGCCCACTGGAAAATGCAATTGAGACAATGCAACTCACAAATGAGAAAATTAATAATTTGGTGCAGCAGCATATGAATGACTCCAATTTACCCATAAATCCTCTTTCCTTACTCCTGAATGGCATTGTGGACCCAGCAGTGATGGGGGGATTTACCAATTATGAGAAGGTAAATCTTTATGCTTGTCATAATGTGTATATTCATTCTCTTTTTCTCTACACCTATAATGTTCTAAGTCTGGTGTTAAGAAAACCATTTGAAAACGTTTTTATATTACTGGCTTTTGGGTTTTCCTGTTGTTTTATTTAGAGCCTCCTTCATGAAAGTAAAGGTGTCAGTCCCTTTTGGTGTTCAAGGTTTATTTGTTATCACTCATTCTAAATTGGGCCCCCTTCCCATTGTGTTTCTCCTGATGGGTAGATATCTTACCCAGCTTGTCATGTGATATTGCTTCTACGCTTCTTCAGAAGAGCTTTTACGGCAGCTAGAGAGAACAGTATCATAGTTCTAATACAAAGTCTTAGTCTTTTTGGGCCTTGAGATTATTTTTATCTTGTGAAAGATCTTATGCACCTATATGAAGATTTTTCATGCACAGTAGCAACCGGACAACCAAGGCTGCAAATAGCAAATGAGTCACCAGCATAAGGTTTATTAGCCGAGGTACTGTGGAACCCTTAGGTTCCACAGTACCTTAGGTTCCAACAGAGGCCCATTGCAGCGGATTCCTATCCACCCAATTTTGGTTTCCGTATCTCCCCATGCAGGATGCCAAAGAGAACGGTTGTTGGGAAGGGCAGGACAGGGGAGAAGGAGTAGGCATGTGGTCCAGCTCTGTGGCCATGAGTTCGCCCCACCAACAGGAGTCAACTCAGACTGTCAACAATGTAGGAGAATGGAATCTAGGAGGGATGAAGAGAGGGGGGAACAGGATCAATGAGAAGCTTTTCTGACAATACCGCTTCCTGTAAATGGGAGTGATCTCAGGTTTCAGCACCACAGGAAAGAAAGAAAATACATTGATTAGTGGAAAAGGATCAGGACAGGAAAAAGTAATTGTGTTGACAGGAGTTCTCCCTGCTGCTGGGAACAACCTCATTCTATCAAGACAACAAGACTCGCAGCAATGAGTGGAAAAGGAGTAGGAAAATAAAAAGCAAAAAGTACTGGAAGGGATAAAAGGAAGAGGATTTGGGAGAATAAAATGAATAAGAGAGGAAAATGGCAGAGGAAGAGGCATTAGGGTGTATAGGTGGAAGTGTGCATGTGAAGATAAGTAGGGGGAGATGATAGTTAAGCAAGAGGATTTGAAAGTCAGTGAAGTGGGAAAAAATGAAATGTAGATGTAAGGAAAGGGAAATATGAATGGAGAACATCAAAGATCTGTACAGTCTATAGAGTGACCCGTTATATAGAAAATTCACAGAGCTATTCCTCCAGTGAAGCTGAATATACATTAGTTCTTTGCAAGTTAGAGCAGTTGTGAGAATGGGGCAAAATGTATTGATTTTAGGGTATTTTTTCTCTTCTTGTCAATGTTCCTAAGAATATAAACAACATAAATCAGCTGGTGTTTGCTCTCACTTGCAGATTAAATGAGCACTAGTATACTATAAATAGCCCTGTCAATTTCCGATAGCACTGGTATCACCGTTTTGCAGGTAGATACATTAGCCACAGAAGTGTTGTAAATAATATATCCATTAACCCAGTGCTGATGATGATTGCTTTCGGGAGATAGAAACAGTGCTGCAAAACAGAAAAAGTAAATATACTCCACTGCTCTAATGAACCGTGCAATAGTGAGTTCATTTATTTTTTCTGTTTTGCAACTGACCTCTAGTATTGTTAAATTAAAGTGGAATCAAGCACTAGCTAATTTGTTATTTATATTCTTAAGAACATTAGAACAGAAGAGAAAATAACCTAAAAACATTACATTTTATCCCATTCTCACAGCTGGATATCTTTCACGTGATGAATATACAGGCAGTTTTGCTGGACGAATAGCCACTGTATGTGGATTATTTTAAAATGTATTTGTGTAAATTTTAAAATATATACTTTTTATGTAGTATTATATCTACATCTAACTGATCACACCAATGTCCCCTGAGCTGTAGATCAGGAAATCATTTCATGGGTTTCACGAGGCCTTAACATTTTTTTAAGGGTTGTTCATCAGGTGTATACAGGCTGAGAGAGGCTGCACTGACATGCAAAGCTATGGGGCTTAGTTTTCTGTCGGAGTCATTTCTGGTCTTTGAACTGTAAAGTATTGAGGACAGAGACAGCCAAGCAACTTGCATTTTTAGACCATTAGAAAAGGCAACCTTCGCTTTTCCCTCTGTCTTGGATTACTGGTAAATTAGAAGCTTTTACTAGCCAGTGTGGCTGATTAATTTTTTTTATTTATATTATGGAAAATGAGAATACCTGGGAAATCCGATGTGCACAGATCTAGGTCTAGAGGTATAAAAACTAAACGGGTGACACAGCTAACCAATCTCTACTTGATAATTAAATATGACTTTGCACCATATATAAAAAAAATTCTAGGCACCCCTCTCGTTTTTATGTGTGTTATGTGAAAGTACTAAGTAAGTCACATATTTTAATGACCTCCTCCTATTTTACTAGGCCTTCTTCAATGAGAAATACATGTCAGAACACCCAGAGGACCTTGAGAATATTGAAAAATTGAAGGACCTGATTGCATGGCAGGTAAAAATCCCCGTTATCACCTTGTACAAGGACACGTAGTGCACAAACAGCTCGCCATCTCTGTGCATCAGACTGATGAATGTGGCTTCTACCTTTCAGTGGTATTTATCTTCTCTACAGAGTTATTGTGGCATTGCATACCTCAGCCTGACATTGTCATTTGTTCATTTCACATGTGAATAAGAACATTACGCCTCTTCTCCTCCTTGTCAATTTAAAAGGCAACCATTTCTAATTTGTCACTTCAGGTGGAGTTTAATTTGCCATCATTTAAAAGCTATTATTCTTTACAACATTCGTTGGGAAATTACTTCCTTTGCAGATCCGCACTTTTGCAAATGCATTCCATCCACAGGTGCCTCTGCAAAACCAGCTACATTCAGGTTTATTCCACCCACATCTACTGCACATTACCATCCTATGTCCCCCAAGTAGACCTAGGACTGGGCTTCCCTGGTAGTGACCATCCCTGCTATGTGTATGGAGACAAATATATTCTCTACAAGTACTTGGTAACCGTTGTGTATATCATTATTTTAGGGTCACTCACAACCTCAACAGATGTATGTCAAACCATCTTTGCACTCCCTCTTTACCCGAATGACATTTTGCTTTGTTGTCCTCACACATTACTATGCCATGGGTAGGCAACCTTGCCAGTAAAGCTCTGCTTAAACTACAAATCCCATGAGGCACTGCAAGCCACAGACATGACTCCCACAGGCAGAGGCCTGATGGTATTTGTTATTTCACTACAGATGGCATGACGAGTTTGCCTTCCACTTGACTGAACTGTAAGGACTCTCCCACCTATCCTCTTTACTTTTTCCTAGTGGTTGTTTCAGTGAACTTTTTTCCTGCTCTGAGAACCGGATTAGATTGCAATCACAGTTTAGTATTGCCTAAACATTTCTATCCTCTGGTTTTTTTGTTTTCATCATCAAGAACTGTTTTCTCATTTCTCTATTTAGCCATCCAATGGAAGGTGTATTCCTGCCTAAAACATGATTTTTGAACATTGTCCTTGTCATTTGTCTGTTAATTACTTAATGGCTATCTTTGTTTCCGTTTAAGGTTCCATTCCTGGCAGAAGGAATACGCATCCATGGAGAAAAGGTCACCGAAGCTCTGCGGCCATTTCACGAGAGGATGGAGACGTGTTTTAAGCAACTGAGAGAGAAGGTGGAGAAGCAGTACGGGGTTAGGACTCTGGTAGGTAGCGCTGCAACTAACGATTATTTTCATAATCGATTAGTTGGCCGATTTTTTATTTTTTCGAATTATTGGATAAAAAAAAAAATTAAATACCATCTATTATTTAAAATGATAAAATGAAATACACAAATAGAGTGTTACAAAGAAAGTTTAATTCAGAATAAAAATGCACTCACATATTTTGCAGGAATTTTGCCCTGCTAACACACTCTCAGTAAGTGGCATTTCTAATAGGGCACATAGAGTCTCAGAGCTGGCGGCATTGTCCTGCAAGTCTCTATTTTTTTTCCCTTCATATGGAGATGGCCATCCATTCTGTGTTCGAGACTCTTTCCTGCCTAAGGTGGTATAAGCATTCCACTTAAATGAAGATATCATACTTTATCACTTTGTCCCAAGCCAGTGCAGTTGCATTACATTCTTTGGATGTAGTCAAGGTGATTAGGGAATATTTAAATGTCACCTCTGGGTTTTGTAGGTCCGATTTCCTGTTCATGGTTGTAGAGGGCTCACGTAAGGGCCTTGCAGCATTGACTGCTACTATATCTTGCTGGATTTGGCAAACCTATGTCCAAGCACATGCTGTAGAGCACCAAGTACCACCGTTTTTGTTTACAGCGCATTCTAGCAAAGCAGTAAGTGCATCCTGGGCTTTCCGCTGTCGAGAATTGATTTCTCAGGTTTGTAAGGTGGCATCTTTGTTGTTCGTTCACATCGAGTTTTACAAGGTGAATGTGGCAGCATTAGATGTTAGTTTTGGGCATAGGGTTTTGCAGGCTGTATTCTGACTGGCCTGTATGGTTTACTTTTAAGACGGTTAATCAGGTTTTCTGTTCTTAGCCTTGCCCTGGTGTGGGCCATTCCAGTTGGTGATGATCTAAAAGCAGAGTTGTGTCCTTCAATGAACAAAAGAGAAAATATAATTTTTTGTACTCACCGTGAATATCTTTTCTCTGCATTCATTGGAGGACACAGCAGCTTTGGGTTTGTTGCTGCCTATGTATGTAAATATTTCGTTTTTTACATTGCTGTGTCCTTTAACTGAGCTTGTTCCACAGTGTGGAGGGTATTGGCCACCAGCTGGGGTCGATACTGGGCTGTCCTTTTTATTTTTGGTTGCACCTACCATCCTACTACTGCAGGAGGCACCATGCCTAGTAGGCAATGATCTAACAGCAGAGATATGTCCTCCGGTGAACCCAGTGAAAATTATTTTACTACCAGTCTCTGATGCCAAAAAACCCTACCTGCTAGCTATTTTTTGGTGGGGACTTCAGTTCTGCTTTACAATGCAGAGTGGAGTGCCAAATTGATATATTAATGCTTCCATGAAATGCAAATGTTTTCTGTGATTTAGCTTTTTCCTTGTTCTATCCCCTAAATGATGTAAATAGGGCGTTGGGATGTGCTGGCATTTTATATTTTCTGGTTATTAGCAGAGATGGAGGAGCTGAGCTGACGGCTCCACGACATTATAGATTGACAAGAGGGCTGGCTGGATGGATGCATTCATAATGAAATTTAAGGTCCAGTAATGGCCTATTAACACCATGCTCAGCTCATCTGTCTTCTCTCTGCAGTGTATATTTATCGAGGTGTTGTTTTATTTTTAGTGAGGATACGAGGCAGTATATGCTGAGCCATCTGCAGCCAAGAGCTGTGGCGGTTTCACCTTGCCAAGCTCCAATATTTGGGTTGGTGTCTGCAGTCACAGATGGGAGTTCTAACGAGCACAGCTGATTCTCTCTTGTTAATCGTGACCGTTACACGGAAATACCGTACAGCCAACTGTCCCTGATTTCCTTGCTTTGAAAATGTTGTCCCTGTAACTGTCACAGTTTGTCCTATCGCCTATCCTGTAATGACAAGTAATGGCAAGTTTGATTGTTTGTCATGTGAGTGTTTTAACCCTTTCGATGCCAGAACAGTTTTTACGAACTTTTTTTTTGGGGGGGGGGTTGTTGCACTCATTTCAGGCCTGACGGTTACTCACACTCCCAAAATTATAAGAGGCACTGTAGAAAGAAAAATTATGTTAGTTGCAATTTTTTTTATGTCGCACAATATTTATCAAATCCAAGTTAATTCATATATTACCTATTTTTTTTTTTATATAAAAGATGAGATTGCATCCTGTACATAGATATCACAAAATGGCGTGCAAATGTGAGATAGGTTGACAATGGTCACCAACTGTCGTGATGCACAGTGTATCTGTAGGCTGTGGACATTATTCAGCCACCACTCCCTGCCTACCACAGTGGGAAGACTGGCAAAGGCTACTAGGACTTGACGTGCAGTATCCATTGGCAAAATCACTGGTAGTGATGCACCCTGCACCTTCAAGTCCGCACACGGCCCATGCTGTGTGTTGTGCACAGTAAAATGGAAGTGGGCACAGAACCGCTGTTAAATGTTTCAGAGGTACACTAAGTATGGTTTTTAATATTTTTCATACAGAGTCTGATTCCTACATGGGCACAAGGTAAAAATCTCTGTTTACATGTTTTCTCTTGCATCCACTTAAAACCAACATCCTGCTTTCTCGCAGTCCCAGACTTCTTTTTAAAAATGACATTCTGCGGGGTGTTCTGCAACCGCCAATTAGGGTTTGAAATGTTGACTCTTTCGAAGTAATCCTAGCCTGGTCTCATTTTAAACATTGATAGAACACCAGCATCTTACCTACACATGTCTGATGTTATCTTAATAATGTTTTTCTAATCCTGGGCTCCACAAAGGCCTGCTAGGATGATGAAGTGTTACTATTGCTCGCTGCTTGCGCTGTATCAATTAATCAGGAGTTGACAGGATGAAATCATACACAGTTCAACAGCTAAATAGATCTCATTTTGTATCATAGCATCACAATACAGGCGGCTTATTGAGATCATATTCCAAAATAGGGTATTTTATTGTATTTTCTTTCTCGTTAGCCGCTTGTGGTCGTGCTCAAACCTTTGATAGAAGCATATGTAAAATATCTTGTGAAAAACATTTCCTATTTAGATAATGATGACACATCTAGAGAAATTTGTAATAGAAGTGTGTGATGTCTTTTACATGATATTACTTTGTAAAGTTAAAGTGTACGTTCAGTCAATATGACTATTTATTTTTATTCTTTTTGTTTTTAGTTTTGGGTAGAATGGGGAAGGATTTACCTTTGCCATGTAAATCTACTCCCATATATGTGCATTATTTCATCTGTGTATTGATCGGTTTGGTGGGAGTTTAGCTATTAAAGGAGAACTATAGGGTAAGTGTTTTTCCCATAGTTCTCATAAGGGTCTCCTTTAGAACACAAACTAGCGTCCTCCCGTGACCCAAAGCTCAGTATACCGCGAGCTACAGCTCGCAGTATACTGCAGAGCTAGCTGTGCCGCCCCTCCCCTGTCCGTTTCGCCAGTCAGCGCTGAAGGATCAGAGGGGGAGGAATCCCTGCAGGGAGCCGTGAGTGACAGTCACAGCTCTCTGCAGGGATAGATCAAAAAGTGAGCCAGCGCCCGTATGTGTTCGCTCACTTCACGATCTACTGAGCCGACCTGTGAGAGTTTCATTGTCACAGGTCGGCTCAGATTATGAGGCTGAGTGAAAATCACTCGCCTCATAATTCTCCTTTAAGTGGAACTTCACTTCCCTCGCCGACATCCTTTCCACAACTTCTTCCGGGTGCTTGGTAATCAGCGCTCTTGATTGGCCGGTGGGGGATAGCATAGTTCCTGCTTATGTACATCTGAGTTTATTCATCCTGGCACCGAGGTGTGGCAAGAATGTTACACCGTGCTCAGCGTATATACTAAAGAAAAATGCAATTAGGCAGGTAAGTTTGATGTACTGCAGAAGAGGCATGGCATGTCTCTGCCGCAATGAAGAGCTTGCCTGCTCGCAATTTTTTTTTTTTTAGTTCAATTTTAAATCTGTAATTTAATGAAATTGGCACCATTAATGAGCTTAAGGTACACCCCCTACCAGCACTCCACTAATGGACCTTCAACATAAAAGGTGATCAACAGTGATGCACAAGAGGCAGGGGTCAGTCTTTCAAAATGAGTGCACACTGAGTTTCTCCTATAGTGCTCAGTAGGCTGATGAAAGTACACAAGTCACCTGAGGGGGCGACCATTTTGCACATTTTACAATTAGATATGCTTTTTAACCTCCTTGGCGGTATTCCCGAGTGTGCCTCGGGGTTAATTTTCATTACCAAAAGCGGTAACCGCGAGCCACACTCGGGATTACACAGCGCCACACTTACCTTGCCCACAATCCTCGCTTTGTCCTCCGTCCGATGCCGGAGGACATCAGTCTTCCGGGTTCCATCCCTTGCGAGCGTAAAAAAAAATAGACAAAAATGGAAAATTAAAATTAAAAAATCAGACCGCCAGGGAGGTTAATATCATATTGACTTTAAACCTAGAGCACAACAGTGAAAGTTCCTACTTGTCACCATCTTTAATGCCTTGAAAGCTTCTCAAATTTAGAGGGAGCCATGTTGTCAGTAGCCGTGCATTCTGATTCTATTGGGGAATGCAAATTATTTGCTTATTAATTTGTATTGTTTTTTCAGGTGTCCAATATTGACGAGAGGAGGGGCAATCGACCCAGATCTATGGTTAGATCTTTTACTATGCCATCATCATCCAGACCTTTATCGGTTGTGTCCATCTCTTCTGTGTCATCGGACAGTACACCTTCAAGACCAGGTTCTGATGGGTATGTAACCTTCTACCATATGCTCATTCTATAGAAGTAGAAAGATCATATCATATCCTTTCCTTTATAATAAGTACTAACACTATTCTGTATCCCAACAAACCACATTACTTAGTTTTAATACCATTTAGGAAACACAAACAGCCTTTAGGTTAAGTAAAAAAAAACAAAAAAAACTTTTTTTTACTGTGTATGGGACTTCCCTAATTCTAAAAGTCAGATATATGTCTAAGAATTCGGAGAATAAGGAACATTGAGGCTACTCCTTCTCATTAACATGTCATAGGTGAACCAGTGTGAAGCAGGTGAAAAAGAAATGTGCTTCTACTATTGAACGCGATGGAAGGGGATGGGCAAAGACACATTTTTCAAACTATGAGATCCATGGAACTGTATATTAAACATTTTTGATGTGTTACGTTGCGAATCAAAATTTGTAAGAATTTTCCGAAATTCGGACACATCTGAATTTCCGAATCCCAATGTGTCCGAATCTGAATTTGGATCCCGAATGCCATTCAGGTCTAGGAGATTCAGCTATTTTCCTCATATTGCAACTAAAAGAGGTGTTTGGTAATATTTAGTCATTTCAGCAGCTCCTTACTTTTTCATTAGACTTAAATAGTTATGTGAAAGGGAACTATCTTCAGAAACTATAACTCATCAGATGTTGTTACATTTACCTGGAGTTCATATATGCCAGCTTGCTCTTCCATATTTTTATTATTGTATTTTTGTTCAAATTAGTAAATGATCCCTCTAGTTGACTTCTGTATGTTTTGCTCTAGACTACAAATCCCAGAGACGTAAGGCTTATCCCAAGGACGAGCCCAAATGTAAAGCTTGGCAAAACTTTAATTTCTATTTTGTTGTCTGTTCTTGCAGTAAAGCTCAAGGAAACTGACCCAGTAGCATTTAAAATACTTTACTTGGTGAAAATGCTGCGTGTACAAACTTAGAGGAAAAACAATCATAAACAAAACATACACACAGGCTGCTACAAACAAACAATCACTTGCACCCACTACACTATCCTTCTAGTACATGTAATGCTTTCTAAGAGACAAAACACTAAAATAGTACTTAGCTTCAAGCTTCAGATTCCGTAAAGAACAGGACTTCTTGGCAAATAACCATTCACAGGAAAATGGCTTCTTGTTGCAGTCTGTGGTGGCTAAGTCCATTGTTTTAGAGTCCAGTCAGAGTTATGTCCTTATTGCCTCTTCTGACATACTCCATGAAGTCCTTTGTGAAGTCCTTTGGGCTGCTGGCTTTTATTCAGAGAAAATGGCCTCCCACTTGTGGGTGTTGCCCCTCAAAACTTGTATGAGAGCAAAATATTATGTATTTGACTTTCCCACCTATAGGTGGCAGCAAAGCACCAAGAATTGCCATCAGTAGTCAAGTTTGAGCAAGTCTTGACCAATCTAGGTTTGATTGTTTACACAAGGTTTCCCCATAACACCATCCTATTGTGATGGGGAAACAATACAGGGCAGCCAAAACCAGTTTGGTCTGTTTAGAATCTGATCTGACAGAGTGACTTCAAGAACTATGGATTGAACTTGGCTGGGTGGGATGTGCTGAGATCGGGGGAGGGAGGTGGCTGGATGAGATGTTCTGTGAGTGGGGAAGTGAGGTGACTGGATGGGATGTGCTGGGAGTGAGGTGGCTGGATGGGATGTGCTGTGAGCGGGGTGGCTCGGTGGCATGTGCTGTGAGTGGGGTGGTAAGGTGGCTGGATGGGATGAGCTGTGAGTGGGGTAGTGAGGTGGCTGGATGGGATGTGCTGTGAGTGGGGTGGTAAGGTGGATGGATGGAATGAGCTGTGAGGGGGGGGTAGTGAGGTGGCTGGATGTGCTGTGAGTGAGGTAGTGAGGTGGCTGGATGGGATGTGCTGTGAGTGGGGTGGTTAGGTGGCTCGGTGGCATGTGCTGTGAGTGGGGTGGTAAGGTGGATGGATGGGATGAGCTGTGAGTGGGGTAGTGAGGTGGCTGGATGTGCTGTGAGTGGGGTAGTGAGGTGGCTGGATGTGCTGTGAGTGGGGTAGTGAAGTGGCTGGATGGGATGAGCTGTGAGTGGGGTAGTGAGGTGGCTGGATGTGCTGTGAGTGGGGTAGTGAGGTGGCTGGATGTGCTGTGAGTGGGGTAGTGAAGTGGCTGGATGGGATGTGCTGTGAGCGGGAAAGTAATGTCGCTGAGTGGGATGTTCTGTGAGTGGTTGGGTGAGGTCGATATGTGGATGTGCTGTGAATGAGGTAGTGAGGTGGCTGAGTTGCATGTGTTGTGAGCGGTTAAGTGAGGTCGATGGGAGGGATGTGCTTTGAACGGGGGAGTGGGGTCGATTGGTGGAAATACCTACAAAAGCAGGAGTGAGATGGCTGGGTTGAATGCGCTGCGAGCAGGGAAGTCAGGTGGCCAGGTGGCATGTGCTGTAAACTGGGGTCAAGTGCAGGGTCTTCCATAGAGAGCAGGTAGCTGAGGACAGGCAGGAGCACAGAGGTAGACATGTGCGATTCGGTTCGTTCCGAAATTTGTTTTGAACAAATTTTCGGAGATTCGGATGCATCCGAATTCCGAATTATAGCTAAGACGAATGCAAACGAATCCGAAATTCCCGATTTCCCAAAATTCGTAATTAAACGAATTTCGTTGCAGCAAAACGACATTAGGGGAAAAAAAATACAACAGTTACCTTCTCCAACAGTTCCTTGGTTAAAGTACAGAAGCAATAGCGTAGAGGTTAAGGGACAGGTTTGCCAATGCTTTTGAATTGGCATTCTCCTATTGACCTCCTCAATGTAATTTCTCATTTCGCTATTGGACGAATTCCGTTGCAGCAAAATTATTTTTTTTTTTTTTTACAGTCTGCAGAAAACATTTTTTGTTTTTTTTCATAAACGAATTTCGGCAGGACTACCGCTAACGAATTTCGTCCGAAACTAATTTAATTTCGGACCCGAAAAACAAAACTAAACTAAACGAATTTATTTTATTTTTTTTTCAAAACGAAACTAAACTAAACTGATTTTTTGCTGGTGCACATGTCTACACAGAGGTACAGGGGTGCTGGAGACAAAAACCTTATAGCTCGGCGTCTACGGTCCTGAGCTCGGAGGAGAGGAAGGGGAGTCCAGGAACAAGGTTGTTGGCCTGAGGGGAGATTTAGGCAATTGCTTTGGAGGATTCCTTTTATATACTAGGATACAAATACACACAGATGTACAGGTTTGGCATTTTTTTGTGGACATTTTTCGTCAGCATATTCTGTTTGCATGGTAAACAAACCTATATTATTTTTGTACCCAGCCGTGCTTGTTTTCAGTTATTTTCACAACAAAATTACCATCTGATCCCTCGCTTTATTGCACACATCCTTTGGGATTGCTAGAAAGCATATGGTTTCAATACATATAAGCCACTCTGTTTTGTTTGTTCTCCTTTAAGTCTGGTATACGGATACTGCACTGAATCATTCCAGCTGATATACAGCATACATATGGCCAGTGACTGGCTGCCAAGTCCTCGCTGATCCTCTGCATTCCAGAATCAGCCGCTTACAATACCCCAATCATGAAATGTGTTCATCCTGCACGCCTGCACAATATTGAAACTACGAGAGGTTTTGTTTTTTTTAAAAGGAAAGCCCTAAGTAAACACAACCAGGTCCTGTCGTCCTTTTTAAGAGAGCATTGGGAGTCTATTAGGCCTCTAATGTCACCTTTCTACTCCAATGAAGTAATGCTATGCACTGACTCAGGGCTGTCCCTTCACTATTCGCCGCCCGGGAGGATGGAAAGGGGAGATGGATGGGTGCTGTCAGTGAATGGTCATTCCAGGTGATGTTGGGGGAAGGGCGCTGCCAGTGAATGGTCCTTCCAGGAGGAGGTTGTGGAGAGGGGGGAAGCTAATGCTGTCAGTGATTCACCTTTTCTGGAAGGAAGGGGGGTTTGGGTTGTTGGGTCCTGTCAGTGAAAGGTCATTTCGGGGGGAGGGGGGTTGGTATCTACCAGCGGATGCCTGTTACCTCTGGGGCCAGTGGCTCTCTCTGATGCAGGGCCGGATTAATATGGGGGCTACAGGAGCGCCAGCTCCAGGCCCACCACTGAAAATAGGCCCAGCTAGCCTGTATTATCTCGGTATGCCCAATGGCAATACGGGCCGGCCGGCTGAACACAATCAGGCAGAGGCACTGGCAGCTTTTTATTCAGGCATATTAGGTGGCCACTCGCTCTGAGCGGTTGCCTAATATGCCTATTTAGAGAGCTGCCTCTGCTGCTTCCTGTCCGACTGACTGACAGCATCAGGCTGATGATGCTCTTAATCCAGCCCAGCACTAATGTTACTTGTTGCCGAGCATCCCACGCAGGTCTTGGCAACCGATGACATCAGTGAGCTGGGTGGGAAGCCAGACAGAGCATCACGGATTGCTAAGAGCTATTAGCAACCTGGGAGACTGAGACTGACCCCCACACACCCCTCTTGTCCTGGCTGCCTCATTATAGGGATGGCCCTGGACTGACTATTATATATGTCACTGCCTATAGTTCCACTTTAACTGTATGATTTTAAAAAATGTGAGTCTCCAATGTCAGGGTGGAGCATTGTTGCTTGGGGGACAGTGATGGACACAAAGTACTATTGTATCACTTTTGTGGAATGTTGCTCTGCTCTGTGCTGTGAGGCTCACATTTACTTTGTTTTGTTTTTTGGCATTATTGTAATTCTCTGATTACCAAACAAACAAGAAAACAAAAAAGTAGAAAAAAAAAAAAAGATTTGAGAACAGCTTGAAAAGGATTTCTCATTCTTTGACTGCAGCGCCTTTGTAAGTCGTGCAGATGCCTATTGACATTTCAGGAGGTCAAATATTTACCCCATCTGTTTCTTGCAGCTCTGCGGGTACAATCACACGCCGCGCTCTGACCCAGCCATGATGCACTTGATTTAAGTTAAAAGGCAGATTTTTTTTCCCTACCCCTTTGCATGTCTCAAATGTTTAGTTTGCCTCTCGGCATTCCTAATATTGGACTTCGCCTGCTTGGCAACTCTCCCGGTTCTCGTCAATTTCGGTGAACTCAGCAGAAGAGGCTTCAGAAATTGACAATGGCGTCTTACCAAATGGCTTCAAAACACTTGTGTTTTCTATGCGTGCAACCCTGGCTGCATCCCCTCCATCACTTCAAATGAGCCGAAAGAGGCTTCTTTGTTTTAAGATATACGCCTCGCGGAACGCACAGCGATTGTCGTTGCACGGCGGTAGAGTAAACTGTAAATCAGCTACAGCTCTTTTGTTCAGTAACAGTGAAATCTCTAAGGAGTCGTGTTCCCATCACCTACATTAGGTTCGGTGTACAACTCCACGGGCTCATTAGAGCATTTTAAATAAAGGCGTGTTTAAGTAAAAATTACAAACACATTCAATTTTAGGGCCTGTTCACGTCCCTGCATAGGTCTGTATTATAACCTATGTCAAAAATGAGTTGTCTGTGCGGGCTGTTTAAATCAGTGCTGTTGAATTACAATTTTGTATTTAGCAAGGACATTAAAGAGGAACTCCAGGAATTGCAAATTTAACCCTTGCAGTGGGACTACCCCCAGACTGCAAGGGTTAAGTGTTTGTTTTGTCCAGGGGGCTTAAATAAAGTTGTATTACGCAACTAATCCTCGGTCATCCAGGGCTGCTAGACCGGTCCTCGTACCCTCTTCTTCCTCGGGCTCACGCGCTCTAAGGACTACTGACATCATCACATTTTATGCAGTTTAGACAGGAAGACACTGAGGGTCATTCCACAGCTAGAGTGGAGGGAGAGAGAGGTGAACGCTGACTGACGCAGGACTGAGGATCAGGTGAGTGAATCTGCTTTATTTACATCCCTGGATCAAAATGAGCACTTAACCCTTGCAGTGTGGGGGTAGCCCCACTGCAAGGGTAAACTCTAACTTGAGGGCCTATCCTTTCCTAAGGCCTCATTCATACAGCTAAGAGCCGGCCCGTACAGATCCGTATCGGGCCGTTCCCGGTAAGGACAGGTGCTACGTGTGATTGTACGCAGCAGCCTGTTCTTCTCTATGAGAGTACGGAGATGTATGCTCACCCGAGCTGCACATCCATGCGGGTGTCCATGCTCATACGCAGACAGGATCCATCCTCTGTGTACGAGTACGGACACCCTCATGGACGTGCAACTCGGGTGAGCGAGCGGCCGCTTACTCCCATAGCGAAGAACAGGCTGCTGAGTACAATCACACGCAGCACCTGTCCTTACCGGGAACGGCCCAATACGGATCTGTACGGACCGGCTCTTAGCAGTGTGAATGAGGCCCAACACACTGTAACAATTGCCATTTTTTGATGAAATATTTATTTTAACCTTTCTTTCATATAAACATGGGAGTATGATGTCAGACAGGAACAGAGTGCTGTCAGCCTATAACAGGTGACAGCGCTCCATGCCTGAACAACCTTCATGTCAGGATCGTTATTTTGTGTATTATATTAATGCTGCATATTTAGAAATATTGAAATTGACTTTTGAAGTAACTTCGGTTTTCCTATGCTTTAATTTTAACCTCTGCAGTAGCTTACATTATTATGCGTATTGATTGCACATCGAAGGTAGACTTTTTCTTTACCTAAAATGGAAATCCTGGCAAACAGGTTGAAAAACATGCAGACCTAGGGGGACATGCATAAATTCAATTGGCAATCTGTTCAATAAAATGAACAATTGATGATCCTAAAAGGATTTTGGGTGTGCTGGTGACATTCTCCTCTACCAAACTTATGTGATAGTGGCGCCATCCGCAGTCATTTCAGCACCCATCCCTATCATTGGGATCTCCGGTAAGGAGTGTGACAAGTTCTTCTCTTCAACTTTGAGATTCAGTCTCAGTGAAACATTAAAATGAGGAAGATCTATGATGGGAATAGTTTTTGGGGCCACATAGCATCAGAATTTGGTAAAAAAGGAAGGAATCTATGGACTGTGTATTCTGTGGCGAGGATATTAAGATGTAAACTCCACTTACATGAGGACTGATGTAATTAATTGTTCTCTGCTAAGAGCTGCAGAGTATGTCAGACTTCTATAAATGGATGTAATAGATAAATTAAATAAAAACCAAGCGAAAATTTGGGTGTAATTGACATTGTAGGCTGAGCTGTAATATCTGTTCATTACTTAGCTCTGTATCTGCGACAAAACCAGCATACTTGCTGTGCTGCAGCCGATAGCTTTTCCTATTGTGATAGTTCAGATAAGTGTGCATATATAAGTGTATTAGCTCGGTGTATGAAGTCACATAAATGTATAGAAAGATAAAGCACAGCTCGCCACTTCTAAAGCAAACCCGACACGGCTGAGATTACTTTGGCCTAGAATCCTCCGCCCGTGTAAACTGAATCGGTATCTAATTGATTCTTTCCAACATTCTGTTTGCAGTTTTGTTCTTGAGCCTTTCTTGCCAAAGAAGATGCATTCCCGCTCCCAAGATAAATTGGACAGAGATGATCTTGATAAGGAGAAAAAAGAGAAAAAGAAGGAGAAGAGGAACAGCAAGCACCAGGAAATATTCGATAAGGAGTTCAAAGCGACTGACATTCCACCCCAGCAATCTGATGCTGTTATACTTTCAGAGACCGTAAGTCAAGTTACAGCACGCTCCCTTTGTTATGGAGCCGTGTCTAGATAACCGCAGATTGGTCTGCCATAATGGTACTGGACACAGAGCCGTGGATGGATTTATAATGCTAGATGCTTACATGTTCCATGACTCAGGGTGTGCAGACCTACAGTATTTCAGAAGAACATATTCCACAAAGATTAGAAACGCACCAAATGCTTTTGCAGATTAGATATTACCTTGTAACAATACACATGGCTTGTATGTGTGTTTGTGCATAAATATTAAGGAAAAGAGTCACGGGCACTCCAACATTGATACAACTTCATATTTTTTTGATGCAAGTCTATCATATCGCAAAGAAAACAATATTTCAGGGCCACAGGGTCCCCTTATCAGACAAACAATGTGTCATACAATTGTTTGCCTGATGAAGGACCCTATGCGGGCCCAAAACGTCATTTGCTTTGTGATATGATAGACTTGGCTCAATAAAAGATGAAGTTATATCAATGTTGGCGTGTCAGTGACTCTTTTCCTTAGTGCTTGCAAGTGTGTCGACATCTGCTTGTCACTGCAGCACCCACAACAGATTTGGTATTTACCCATCTGGAGTGCAAATGGGCCACATACAAGAGTTTGTATATAAATAGGTGCATAACACTCTACACACTTTATATTAAAGTAACTGAACTCTGGAAGTTGTGACCACAAAGGCATGCAAAGGGCAAATGACTAGTCACCAGAATTGCCTTTGGTCTTTCTGCAGCTGATCTTTCCATATTGCTGGCTTATGCTAAGTTCTGCACTGTGTCTCTGTATGGAGGTGGCCATCTTGGTATCTTGGTGGGAGCAGGGCTTTGCTACCTCCTGTCTGAGCTTCCAGCAATGAGAACAGTACGGTAATGACATCAGCAAATCTTACTCCAAATCTCCTGATACTAGCATTCAGAGGCAACAGTGCCTTAGAACTCACACTGCAGATATACAACTATAAGGCTGTGGACGCAGGAGTTCCTAGGCATACTCGCATTCCAGGAGGTGCACTGTAATTTGTATCAGGAATTGAAACAAAAAGGTACATTTTCCACAGTACTGCCATACTTAGGCACAACTAACATTTCTTAATGGTCTCTATAACATAGCAATTCTTTTTTGAGTTCAGTTCCACTTTAAGCTAGTCACATTTAGCTATTCCTCATCACTTACTCACAGAAGAGAGCAGCTCTCCATCCTTGAACACTTTAGCTTATGTGAAGTGGGTTGATGGCTATATGAATTCTGAGTCCTCTCCTTGTCACTGTCATATATTGAATAAGGTGAACACCTTGAGTGTTGTCATTTTTCACCTAAGATTGTCATTGGTAAAGCCATTTTAAGTCTACTGATCCCATTATTTCTCCCTATCCTAGATAAGCCCATTAAGGCCTCAGAGACCAAAGAGTCAAGTCCTGATTACCGTTGCTGGTGATAGGCGCTTCTCTGTATCCCCGGGTCAGCCTTCAACTCAGCAACCGCCACCTGTCACTCCCAGAGCCAAGCTCACATTTACTGTATCACTAGGTGAGTTATTACATCCCACTTATCTTTCATGTCTTCTCTATCACTCTATCAGCCTTCTGTTCTTTGTCACATTTTGGTTTTATATTTTGTATTTTATTTGTTTGTTATTAACTTTGTATTGCTCCACCTGTCCCAATTGTAGATCATTTGGCTAAGAGCAAAGTGATGTATCTCATAGCAAGTCGTCTTTTCCTCACCTAAATTCTGATTGGCTGGGATGCACTTTGCACTGGTACTAAAAATAGGATGTACCGTCCAGTACATATGAGCAGATCACTGGTTCTCTTTATAAACACACACACATATATATATATAGATAGATAGATTGACAAATGTGACATTACAGTGCAATTGTCAACATGGGATTTTATGTAAAGAATGAAATGTTGGAACATGTTTTGGGAGATACAACTAGTTTGTTGTGTGTGCTTTGTAAAGTTCCTTGTGATGTCTTTGTAACATCTATATACATTTACCTGCACTGTGTCATTTTCTCTCCAGTTCCATAAAGCTGCCTACCAAACTCTCTGCCAAAAGATACCATTGATGTTAATAAAACCGCACCGCAACCTTGTGCCAAACATTTGGCACGTGGTTGTGGCATGGTAGTTCCATGTAATATTTCACCTTAAGATCCCAAAAAAAAGAGGCATTCAGGAGGCGGCATCATCGCCTCCTGAATGCCTAGAAGCCTTGCTCAAAAGCCCTCTGAGAAAACGATCCAGCATGAATCGCTTTTCAGAGGGGCGGTGGAGCCTGCTGCCCATCTCCTGTTCTCTAATACAGAGGACAGGAGATGGGCAGCAGCCACTCTCTGTTACCACTCACCACTCTCCTGTCCTCTAATACAGTATTTCTCAATCTTCTTTCAGTCATGGCACCCTTTAATAGTATGCATAATCTCAAGGCATGCCAGTCCAAAAAAAAAAAAAGACATGTGGCCCCCCTCCAAAATCTATATCAAACAGATACCCCAGATAGGGCACTGGCATGGATTTTAAAAGAGGGACTCCATGCAAAAATGTAGACAATAAACATCTTTTTGCTCCACATCAGAGCCTCCCCTTTTACAACAGCATCTACGCTTTTACATCAGAGCTCTCTTCACATCAGGAGCCTCCTTACTCTTTAGAGTTCCCCCTTCACACCAGGAGCTTCTTCAATATCAGAAGCCCCCTTCACCTCAGAGTCCTCTAATAGACTTTCAAACCAAGGGGTTTCTTTTTTTTTTACATTGATTCACTTTGTTACTCTTGTACTGTGCTGACTATGGAGAACAAGGAAGAGCTGACATTTCTACCCTGGCTTCACGAGGAACAGCAGATTCCCTGCTGCATGAGATCTCTTATGACCTGTGCCTTATAGTAAACTAGTGCAGTGTTACCTTATTCTTGTGCTTGGCTGAAGCCCTGTGTAATAACAATTTGGGCTGGAAGATCTGGCACAAAGCTAAGCATTACATTGGCACTGTATAGGTAAACAATGAATCATGGTAATCTAGCTAGCAGGTTATATATGTGCAAGATATTTATGTATCATTATAATCTTATGACCTGGAATAAGGTAAATTCATTTGTATGTGTATCAAAGCATTGTTGTTTTCACCTGTTTTCACCAAAAACAAATATAGAGCCCTCCAAGGAATGGTAATACAAGTATGTAAGAAAGTGTTACGACTGTGCTCATTGTTTGTGTATAATATGTACATTGAAGCACAAAGTCCCATACTATTGTCCATCTACCCAATTGCTTTCTCTAGGCATGGAACAAAATGGTGTCTCTGCTGTAGAACCAACGGATATCCCCCCTCCACTGCCAGTCAAAGGAAGTACATCAGATTATGGGAATGTCATGGATTATCAAGAATACATCCAGCCTGCTACACTACCACCTCCACCGCAGAGGGTAAGTGGACATCATACAGTCAGCCATCATCTAGTAGTTAGGCTCCATTATTATGCATTCAGTGGGATTTGTGCAAGTGAAATGACGTGCCTGTGAACTAAATATTCTGACATAACAAGGAAAGATAAAGATCAAGGGGTACACAGTAACTCATATCACCCAATCAGGTTACCGCACATAGCAGTCAGAACAATGGAAGACAGATGCTAATTGGTGGTTACGGGTTTCTGCACTTTGGATTTTGTTTTTAGCCTTACTAATAGACCCTTATAACATGATTTGTAACAATCTGCTTGTATTCCTCTTTCACTGTAGATATGGGTTGAAGTGTGTCACAATGCAAAGTAACATTGCATCCCAATGCACATCTACAGTGCGCTACGATGCACCAGAGTTATAAGATAATAGACATGTGCACCAGCAAAAAAAAAAAATCATTTCATTTTGATTAGATTTTGCTTTATTTTGTTTTTCCGGAATTCGCGTCCGAAAGTCAATTCGTTTAGAAATTTGGATTCGGACCAAATTTGTTAGCGGTAATCCGTACGAAATTTCATTACGTTTTCATTCGTTTGATGCAGCAACGTGACATTTAAGAGGAAAAAAAAGTTTTTTTGTTCTCAAATGTCACTTTGCTGCAACGAAATTTCGTCCAAAAAACAAAAGTTTGTCTAAAATAAAAGAATTGGAAATTCGGATTTGTTTGCATTCGTTATATCTGTATATCAGAATTCGGATACATACGAATCTCTGAATTTCGATTTGGAATGAAACGAATCGCACATGTCTATAGGACAATACAAAATACAGATGCATATGCTCTGTGCTAAAAAAAAAAAAAAAAGCGCAGGACTTAAATTTTGGTGCGTAAATGGTACATGCCAGGTTTATATCTTGTACAATACATTCATTACAGACACTGCTGTCCCCATCTCCTAGCCTGATCTGGCTGACAGGAAATCAGGCTGCAAACAGCACTTCAGAAAAGTCATATCGCTATAATGTGGCCACCAACAGTTTTCAATTGCCAGCACCTCAGTACAAGGCTGCTATTCCCATCGTTGGCAAAGTAAAAACTGCAACAGTCACAAATTTTTGAGCTGACTGTGACTACAAGCCTGACAAATCTACTAGCTTGAATGTGGAGTCTTGGTTGGCTCTTACAGAGAATGCTCCCAGATGACATAATAATTCTATGGACATTTATAGACCCGACGGTAAAACTGTGATTTCACAGATCACACATCTGCTGACTTGGGTTTGCAAATTTGTATTTAATCCTTTCCTTGGTGTGAAATCTCTCACATCAATGTTCTTTTAGACAAGGTGGTGTTGGGTGTTAGAGAGAGATATATAAAGGGATTCTCTGGTCTTATAGTTACAGGAGAAAGGCAAGAAGATAAATACACAGTTTAAAGTACCCCTGTCATGAGAGAATTACGTAGGCTATCATTGCTGAGCTCTCCTATTGGGAATATTTGCTTTCTTGCTCTCATTGGTATACTCTGACCTGCAACAGGTACAACGACAAGGAATTAAGATACACATATATACAGCATGCTTATATCAGGATAGTGATTTATCCTTTCAATGGCAAATACTTTTTGTATTTTTTGTTTTCTACTTGTTAAAATGCACATTATATATTTTCTGAAGCAGAGACCCCGGAAAATTACATTTGGGGTAGTTGCATATTTTTATGTTAAGTAATATTAACACAATTTATCAAACCCATATTTTCACCAAACAAATACACTACAGTTAATTTTTTTACAAACATGCACAATGTAATACCTAATTTTTTGATAATGTGTAAAGAAAATTAGATGGTGTTGAGTAAATTAATACCAAACATGTCTAGCCCTGAAAACGCACGTCCAAAAAACAGCAACATGGTACCCAACATTCCCTATAGCCATTACCTTAGAGTTGACAGTGATTGATGGTCTTAAAGGTATTTCTCTCACTCCAGCGCATGTATGTCGGCAAACCCGATGTGCACATATGTGAGGGTGGGGGCAGTGGTGTATTCTGGTTTGGGGCTGCCCTAGGCAAGATGAAACTTGGGCACAACCACACACACAAACCCCACCCCACACACACGCACACACACACTAAATCTGCAGGATCTGTGGTGGGCTCTGCCATAGACCCCACAGAGCCCACCACAGATCCTGTGCACCCCACTGAGATCCTGCAGAGCCCCTCACAGATCCTGCACAGGAAACCGGAAAGCAGCGGTGGCAGCCCCCATGCTTCTCTCATGACAGGTGTAATTTAAATACTTATCTGCCAAAAAATGTTTTAATTCTGCTCGGCTCATCTCAGGATTCCCTTACCCCTGCCACACAGAAAAGCCAGGATACTGACTTGTATAGCGGATAGCAAGCAGCTCACTGTTGAGGTCATTGCTCCGCTCTTCCCCTCCTATCTGCTAGAGCTCTATGGTATGTTGACAGCACTGTGCAGTGCAGAGCCTAATTAACTTCCAGAACTGCCTTCCCTTCTCCCAGACTAAGTCCTGCTGTACAGCAGATTACAGCAAGATATAATATAGTAATGATATAAAAAAGTAATGTACTATTTTAAAAATACATTAAAGGATTTTAATGAATGTGCAAACAGATTAAACGTGTCTTTTCTATGTGCCCATAGTTCTGCTTTAATGGCCCCCTCTTCCCGGCATAGCGTGCATCGATATATTGGCAGCAGCACTCCAGTGTAGTTCCGTTACAATGACCTTGCTTTCTGTAAGGAAACCTTTAATGGCTTTCTCAGCAAAGCAACTTTCCACATATAGCATATGATTATGGTTATTATGTGTAGCAATTATAATCACAATTGTCCTAATCACGTTCTTCAGCAAATGGCAGTCGTACCAAAAAAAGCTATATTGTAAAAATGAGTATATGTATCAGATATAAGCTATCAGACATAAGCTGGCCGTATGCTATACAGTCTGATGGTGGGATCTTCTTTACATCTACCAACAACTATGTAAGATGAGGACTGCCTGGCTGCATACACATTGAATGGATTGTTTAGGTTTGTCTTCAAATGACACAGTTTTGGCAAATCTAAAGAAGATTGTATAATTAGTTTTATAGGTAGCTATACATAATAAAACCTATCAGCGCCCTTGCAGTAATTGAAGTCACCTCGAGCCATTTTTAGATCAAACGCCCACAATAACAGCACTAAAGGGGACTCAGTAATGCTTCTTATCTAATTTTATCAAACTTCAATTTAAGTAAAGCGGCAATAACATGCTCAGGATTATTTTACCTACTCAATTGTTATTTTAACAGCCAGAACAATAAAAATATGCTTGAAATGCAATTCACAAAGAGAAAATGTGCTGTTATCCCTCATTATTGAGGTGTAGATGTATCACCTCCTTCAGAGTGGCATTATGACAGATTTCAGGCATTACCTGATGCTTGTGTGCTGCATGGAGGTAAATAGAAATGGAACCTTATTTATTCTTTGTAATACAGATTTCATTGTGTGGTATGGCGCAGAAGAAGGCAGCATGCAGTTGTCATTTAGATACAAGTTTTTGTACATATTTGTCTGATTTTTTTTATAGTTAGAGGTGATCAACAAGTTTCACCCGACCCAAAAACGAATGTCTACAGACACCCGTCATTGGGCTTGTAGTGCCTGTGGATTGTTCTATATCAGTGGTGTCCCTAGGGGAGTGCGGCCCACACCAGAGTGACACCTTTGGAGGGTCACTGACAGTCATTTTGGTTGCAACCCCTGTGAAAAGTCAGGCACTCAGTCATGGACCGAGAGCTGGACAGTTGCACAAGAGAGGAGGGAACCTGGCGGTATACCTTATGTCTCTGCTCTTTCTGCCGGCATCCATCACCAAGATGGAGTCACGGCGGGGTGTCACCCGGTGGCTACTCTGGGTGACAACATGCCTCGGGACACTCCTGTACCCTGCCACACATTTAGGCCTCATTCACACAGGGCATGTTGTTCCATACAGTGTGATGGGCACATTGATGCGCCCAGAGCTGTGGGAAGCTCATGCAACTCTTTGGAGACACAGGAGCTGTGCGCTCTCTCACGCTGCTTCTCTAAGCTCTGAGTTTTCACAGCCACACACAGATTGTGTACAGCTCTGGATGCAGACATGATGGATCCAGGTCTGTTCGCTATCTGTGTGCGGATGTCAAAATTCGGAGCTGTGTTTAGCATCACGGGAGGGAGTACAGCTTCTGGGTCTCCATGAGCTGTGCCTGCACATTTCTTCCCACAGCTCTGGGTACGCCAAAAACCATCCCTCTACGCTGAGCATTGAAACATGCCCCCTGTGAATGAGACCTTAATGTCAAAATAGATTTTCGGTAGTCAGGAGAGTTGCTTGTCCTCTCTAAACTGTCTGATTATCAGCAGATGTAGATCTAAATCAACCTGATATTTCAGATAGTCATTCGGCACAGAAAAACTGATATTGCTGTTTGATGAAAAGAGAACTATGGCCAAACCTTTTTTGGCATTAGTTTTCTTAAGGGTCACAGGAGGACATTTACTATTGCCCGCTATATACTGACAGTGCAGAGCTGCGCATCAGTCAGGAAAGATCCCAACAATAGCGGATTGGCAGCTGGCTCTGCCTCTCTAAAGCCAGCTGTGTCCACCTCCTCCCCTGTCTGTCCCCCCAGTCAGTGCTGGGGGAATGGAGAGAGAGGAGGGGGGAATCCCTGCAGGGAGTGGTGACTGATAGTCACCGCTCTCTCTGCAGGGTGAAAATTGTGAATCAGTGGTTTGTGCTCAGTTCTCGATCTAAAGAGCAGATGAGAGACAGCTGCAGTGTCCCACCTCAGCTTTAACTATGGGGATGTAAACTTAACATGCAGGTGGTGAAGATATTCCTTATATGTGGGATCCTTATGTGGTGAAAGTAAAACAGTCATCTACAGAACATCTGCGCCACCTCTTCTAATACTAAAATGCAATGCAAAGTATTTAAACACCCAAAATGTAAC